TATCTGGGCCATCTCTCCAAAGACCTTCCTGCCAGCAGTCAGTGAAGGAGCTTGGGGTAGTGCTCTGGGAGCAAGATTTTGAGAAAAGCTCCCATGGGTAATCAGATACACACCTCTGAAATTCAGGGTTCTGAAATTTACTTGGCAGGCATAGTCTATTTCCACCTTATAGTCCTGGAGTGTGTGTACTGGTCCTTTACACACACACACACATACATGTGCTCATAATGCATTGTCTTTGAAACAAAAGAAAACTTAGAGGTGGAGCTTCCTATTTGTTGGACAGGATATTTCTATCAGTAAGGAAACATGCAAGAGATCTGGAAAAGCGGCTGGGGAAATAGCCAGGGGTTCTGAGCCTCATCATTGGGAAGAGACCTTATTAATGTGTGAGACCCACAACAGGCTCGGGACTGAGCCAGAGCAATGACCAAGGAAAGGCTGGGTCAGTGTTTTTCAGACACGTTCTGTGCAGTCCAGGAATTTCAGGGAAGGAGACAGCTATACAGAGGTTACAAACTCAAGTGTCCCAGAGGTTGGAAGGTACCTGAGGGAATGCAGAGACAGAACCAGTGTAGGACATTAGTGCTAAGCTGCCTGTATTGCCGTAGAGCAAGCCTACTTACACTGGCGTTTTAAAGAATTTAAATTGATAGACTAATTTTTTTGAGAAGTTTTAAATTTTCTATAAGAGAATTTAGATCTCTGTAAGAGAATTGAGCAGATGGTACAGAGAGTTCCCATATAACTCCCCTCTTGAGCCTTGTGGTTTCCCCTATTATTCATATCTTGCATTAACTTTGTACATTCGCTACAACTGATGAACCAATATAGATACATTGTTATTAACTCAAGTCCACAGTTTATCTGGGGGTTCACTCTTTCAGTTGTACAGTTCTATGGATTTTAACAAATGTGTGTTATCATATGTCCACCATTACGTATCATACGGAATAATTTCACTGCCTTAAAAATTCCCAGTGTTCCCCCATTCCTCCTTTCCACCCCTTCCTTCTCACACTGGCAATCACTAGTCTTTCTATTGCCTCCATAGTTGTGCCCTTTCCAGAATATCATGTTGGAACCACACAGTATGTATGTAGCCTTTTCACATTGGCTTCTCTCACTTAGTAATACAAATTTAAACTTCCTCTATGTCTCTTCATGGCTCAATAGCTCATTTCTTTTTAACACTACATAGTAGTCCATCTTCTGGATGTAACACTGTTCATTTATCCATTCATCATTTGAAGGGCATCTTGGTTGCTTCTAGTTTAGGGCAATTATGAATAAAGTTGCTGTACACACAACTTTTTGGATGGATATAAGTTTTCAGCTCATTTGGGTAAATACCAAGGAGCATGTCTGCTGAATTGTATGGTAAGAATATGTTTAATTTAATAAGAAACCACCAAACTGTTTTCCCAAGGACCACACCATTTTGCATTCCCACCAGCAAAGACAGAGTGTTTCTGTAGCTCCACATCCTCTCCAGCATTTGTGGATGTCAGTGTTTTGGGATTTTAGCCATTCCAACAGGTTTGCAGAGGAATCTCATTGTTGCTTTAATTTGCAATTTCTTCCTTCCTTCCTTCCTTCCTTCCTTCCTTCCTTCCTTTCTTTCTTTCTTTCTTTCTTTCTTCCTGTCTTTCTTTCTTTCTTTCTTTTTTTTGTAAACATATAATGTATTATTAGCCCCAGGGGTACAGGTCTGTGAATCGCCGGGTTTACACACTTCACAGCACTCACCATAGCACATACCCTCCCCAATGTTCATAACCCCACCCCCCCATGCCCCTCCCCTCAGTCACCCTCAGTTTGTTTTGTGAGATTAAGCGTCTCTTATGGTTTGTCTCCCTCCCGATCCCATCTTGTTTCATTTATTCTTTTCCTACCCCCCAAAACTCCCCACGTTGCATCTCCACTTCCTCATATCAGGGAGATCATATGATAGTTGTCTTTCTCCAATTGACTTATTTTGCTAAGCATAATACCCTCTAGTTCCATCCATGTCATCGCAAATGGCAAGATTTCATTTCTTTTGATGGCTGCATAGTATTCCATTGTGTATATATGCCACATCTTCTTTTTTTTTTTTTTAAAAGATTTTATTTATTTATCTGAGAGAGAGGCAGTGAGAGAGAGCATGAGCGAGGAGAAGGTCAGAGGGAGAAGCGGACTCCCCGTGGAGCTGGGAGCCCGATGCGGGACTCGATCCCGGGACTCCGGGATCATGACCTGAGCCAAAGGCAGTCGTCCAACCAACTGAGCCACCCAGGCGTCCCAGCCACATCTTCTTTATCCATTCCTCTGTTGATGGACATCTAGGTTATTTCCATAGTTTGGCTATTGTGGACATTGCTGCTATAAACATTCGGGTGCACATGCCCCTTCGGATCACTACGTTTGTATCTTTGGGGTAAATACCCAGTAGTGCAATTGCTGGGTCATAGGGTAGCTCTGTTTTCAACTTTTTGAGGAACCTCCATGCTGCTTTCCAGAGTGGCTGCACCACTCTGCCCATTTCTTGATTGGATTATTTTTTTCTTTGGGTGTTGAGTTTGATAAGCTCTTTATAGATTTTGGATACTAGTCCTTTATCTGATATGTCATTTGCAAACATTAATTTGCAATTTCTTAATGCCATATGATTTTGAGCATTTTATCATACACATAGATCTGTAAATCTTCTTGGGTGAGGTAGCTATTCAGATACTTTGTCCATTTTTAGATTGGGTTGTTTGCGTTATTTGTCGAATTTTAAGTTTTTGTGTATTCTGGATACAAATCCTTTATCAGATACATGTTTTGAAAATATTTTCTCCCAGTCTGTGGCTCATCTTTTCCTTCTCTTAGCAGTGTCTTTGCAGGGCAATGTTTTAGGTTTTAATAAAGTCCAGCTTAGCAATTTTTAAATTTCTGGATCTACACTGCCTTCTAAAACACCAGTATAACCAAACAGAACACACTTTCCCTGCTGTTGACCTTGGATTTAGGGGCTCAGATAGGAGGTGTTTCCTAAAACTGGGACATAAGTGGAAGTGCTGGCACCTAGGGCCAGCTTTGGGGGGAGGGGTGAGCAGAAGCCCAGAGAAAATGTCGATCAGGTGATGGAAGACTCACTGGCTGACCTTTTTGATTTTCTTTTTAAAGAATAGTTTCAGATGATAGCATAAGGTATAGACTTGTGGAACTACTACGTTGTATACCTGCATTAATTTAACAATGTAGTGTGTCAACCATATTACAAACAACAACAAAAACATAGTTTTAGGTTTACGGAAAAGTTGCCAAGATAGTACAAAGGGTTTCCATGTCCCTCATACCCAGTTTCCCTTATCATACAATCTTACATTGGTATGGTACAAATTTTCCAACTAATGAAACAATGCTGATACATGATTATTAATTAAAGTCCATGCTTTACTTGAAGATTCTTAGTTTTTCCCTAATATGTTGTTCTGACCTAGGACCCCATCCAGGCTCGCAGTTTGCATTTTGTTGTCCTGTCTCCTTAGGTGCCTTTTGTCTGTGACAGTTTTTTACATTTTTCTTGTTTTTGATGGCCTTGACAGTTTTGAGGAGGACTGACCAGGTATTTTGTAGAATGTCCCCTGGTTTTTTCCACATGACTGGACTGGGGTTATAGGATTTTGAGAAGAAGAGCATAGAGGTTGAGTGCCTGGGTGGCTCAGGTGGTTAAGTACCTGCCTTCGGCTCAAGTCATGATCCTAGGGTCCTGGGGTGAAGTCCCCTGGTAGGCTCCCTGCTCAGTGGGGAGTCTGCTTCTCCTTCTCCCTCTGTCCCTCTCCCTGATCATTCTCTCTCTCAAATAAATAAATAAAATCTTTTAAAAAAGTCATGTGATATTCTCATAACATCACGTTAAAAGTACTGACACAACCCGCCCCCCTGCACCCACCACTTCTTCCCTCCTTCCCTCCTTCCTTTCTTTCTTTCTTGATTTTATTTATTTGAGATAGAAAGTGAACATGAGAGAGACAGAGAGAGATAAAGAGAGCGAGTGAGAGCACTAGTGGGGTGAGGGGAGTGGTGGGTGAGAGAGAGGGAGAAGCAGGCTCCCTACTCAGCAGGGAGCCCAAGCAGGGCTCGATCCCAGGACCCTGGGATCATGACCTGAGCTGGAGGCAGACACTTAACTGACTGAGCCACTTAGGTGCCCCACCACCTCTTTCAAAAGCTCTATTTCACATTTTCCACCTTGAAAGCTCAGTCCCTATTCCAATCCAGTCAAAGGATTGCTCCTTGGTGGCAGAGGCCACTGCCTCACTTGTGCCGCCCTGGCCTCTGTCCTGATAGTAGTGGATCTGTCTGGGGGAGGGAAGGTGGCCGAGGCCTGCATCCTTGGCCTTACCACCCGAGTTGTGTGGTTGGAAAGGTAATCATGTGGATGGCATGAGAAGGAACCTGCCTTCAGAAGTGGGCGTAGGGTCGGAGGAAGTGGAGTCCCTTCTGGATCATGCCAGCAATCAAGGAAACTGGCTCTGGGCTGTCTTCGGGTGGAGGTGTACTCATGGGAGGCTGCCACCTCTGTCCTGAGTCTGTGCTAGGACAGAGTCATTTCCCAGAGCTCCTCTGTATCCTGGCATGCCTGCTAACCTCTGACCTACCACCAACATCCCCCTCTCTCTCCCATGCCACAGCCTCCCTTCCCTCTACTGCCAACCCCTTCTTCCTACCCAGGGGGCAGGACCCGGGCTTCGTACAGTTAAACCACTCGTCTCTTGTTGCCATGGCAGTAGGTCTGCTGTCTGTCAGAGCCGGGGGAGAAGGACCAAGGAGGTGTGCTCAACAACCTTTGCTCAAACACGTCCGAAAGCCATTGGCTTGAGTATCTATAGCCAACGCAGCAGTACACGTGATTCATCTCCCTGGGTCAGGAGGCCTATAGAGACACACTTAGAGCAGCAAAAACAGATGGGGAAGAGGTGGGGAAACTTTCCTGCACCCTCCCTCTGTTGGTAGAGTTTTCCCCTTACCTTCTGTTAGAGACAAGCTGAGACCTTCCCTCCTGGGACTCAGGCGTCTGGGGAAAGGGCCTCATGTGATCGAGCGAATTCGTTGCTGGCGAGTTTACCTGTCGGACCAAGGAAGAGTTTCACAGTATGACCTTTTCCCTGACATGGGAAAATGTCCTTGATGTATTTTTTAAGGTGAAAAAAACCTGCTCTCAAAGTTGCTATGTACAACATGTGTGGGAGAAAAAAATTAAGCTAGACATTGCATAGCTATGATGATGGGCATCAAAATATTGTCTCTGGTTGCCGGGATTGTGGATAATGGTTGGTGTATTCTTTGTTCCTTTCTGTGTTCAGCCTTCCAAATTGAGCACGTGTTCCCTCTTTGTAGGTAGGAAAAAGGGTTTAAAATGCGATCTGACAATTCTCCAGAAGTCCTCTCTGCTTTTGCCTCCTCTAGTCCCCCGAAGAGATGCTACCAGAGGCAGGAGAAATCCATTGAGCTCTTCATCTACAGGAAGAGCTCCACACGGCACCCCAGCAACCCTGCATGTCTCCACACAGGGCTTGTGAGCACGGCTTCAACGGCAGCATCTCCGAGTCTTGGCAGAGTGCCCTGTGATCCTTCCCGAATTCGAGTGGTTATTCTAAGGCCGTTCCCCACTTGCCTTCCTAGCTCCCCAGGAGATGGTCAGGGGACAGTTTCTCATCACCTCCCATGTTCTGATGAGGTTTAAGGCTTTCTGCCTCGCTCCACTCAGGGTACATTTGCAGGCTATAAAACTGCCTAGAGGCAGCATAGAATTCACTTCTCAGCAACGGGGTGCCCCATCGTCCCTATTGCAGTCATCTGGTCTGTTTTGTTTCAGTGACTTCCCGTGGGGTGGAGGACACGCAGAATGGACATTTTGGCGACACTAGTTTTCACTGTCTCTATGAGCAACACGTGGCCTGAATCCAACCACTTTGCCTTGACTCTCCCTGCGTCACCCAAAATGACCCTCGTCATCTACTATCCAGTGACTAAACCCCCCTGGGCACCAGCAGCGGTTGATGGCCTCTCCTCGAAGGGTTCTTAACCAGAGAAGGGACAGAATGCAGGGGGTGCTGGGAACATGGATAGAAACCAATGACTTTTTAAATTTTCCCAACTTCCACCTGAGATTTAGCATTTCTTTCAACAACACAATGTGGACAACAAACCATAGCAGTATATGTAGTATCAGTGACTTGTCACCGGTTAGAAAGCACAGATATTTTCATATCCTATTACTCCGTTGCAGAAATCTTAAAATACTCTGTTCCCCATTACTTTGAAATTATGTTAAATATTGAGCCCACCCCCTCGATCTTATTAATACATTTGTAAAGTGGTTTACATCTTATTATACCATGACTTTGCTTTAAGAATATTTTGATAATTTATTTCCATCTTATTGGCTTTCTTTGTCATCTCGTGTATTAAATTTTATCCTAATATTCTCTCTAGTGTCTAGTAACCATGGCTACTTGGTAACATACTGGTTACTGCTTGGCTGTGTGTCATTGGCTAAATAACTTCTTGGGCTCTCAGCTTCCTTTTCCTTAGGATAAAGGGATCAGCTGTTCATCTCTGAGCGTTCCACCAGCCACACTGCTGATCGAGTAATATGAATCTCGTCACTTCCATTATACCACAGCTGATGAGTTACAGGACAGTTGGAATTGGGGGTTTGTATTAGCTTCGTATTTTATTTATTTAGCCATTTTACTTTCATAGTATTGTGGAGAACTTCCAGGAATCTGTCTAGCAAATGTGAGAACATTTATCTACAAACATGTTTCCAGTGTAAAACTAGAAACAAACTAAACATTAAACAATAGAAGATTAAGCAGATTAAAATAAATTCATAGGATGGAACAGTGACGGTCAATAGAATGATACAGAAAAGTATCACAGAAGAGTGGTCATGCGATGCAGTGAGATCCACAAGCAAAAGCCATTTATGATACTTGAAGACCAATATGATTCTATATTTATAAAAATAAATGGAAATATATGCATCGGAAAAAAGATAAAATAACCTAATCCAACAAGATAATATTGGTTATCCTTAAGTGGTGGGATTATGGTGATTTTTACTTCTTTGTGTTTTTCTCTATTTTCCAAAATTTCTATAGCTTATATACAAATTAGAGAAATATATATTTACATATATGTACATTATGGATACAAACACACATATGACTGTAATAAAAAACAGTTGATATTGTCAGTGAGGTATTACACAAAGCAACAGTGGCAAATCCGCTGGTCTGGGCACCCCTTCCATCCCCCACCTTTCTGTCAGGCCCCAGAGCACGGAGACAGTGAGCCCCTGGCCATGGCATCCTCGTTACAAAGATAAGCACTTGAGTCGCGAACCAAGGCTGAGAGCATGTGGACTGTGGGTCGAAACCCCCACTCTTCTGCCTCCAACAGCCTCTCCCCAGCCTTCCTAACATTCCCTGGGCCCCAGGAGGAAGGTGGGCTCTGGGGCAGGGAAGGGGACCGCCACTAATACCTGCAGGTTGGTGGCTTCCTCTGTCCACCAGGCTTCAAACTCTTTCTGCAGCTTCACCTTGGCCTTGTCCATGAGTAGCTGCAAGTGTTCGATCTCCACCTTCAGGGCCTTCAGGCGCATGAACATTATTTTATACCTACAGTGGAATCAGGGAAGAGTCTTGAAAGTCACTGGCAGCGAGGAAAGGCCGGGAATGGAGTGTTACTGTAGGGTTTGTGTCTTAGAAATCTGTCAGTGTCATGCTGGAGCCAGGGACTGGGACCCCAGGGCAGTCCATGGAGGCCAGGGGCCAGGGCCTGGGCTTGAGCCCCTCACAGAGAAGCAGGCCCCATGGGCTCTGTGTATGAGATGAATACACCCTTCTTCCAGAAGGATGGCTACCGTAACTGAGCACTTACTAGGGGGTAGGCATTGTTCTAGGCACTTGGCATATCAACGGATCAGTCCTCTGCACTGTCCGGTGAAGAAGATGCTCCACTTTACAGATCTGGGGCCTGAGGCATGGAGGTCCCATAACTTGTGCCCCATACGTAACTTGCTCTGTGGCGGGGAGGCTAATAAACAGAGGGGCCAGGATGTGAGTCCCGGCCATCCGGGTCTAGAAACCACAGTCTCAGCCACCTCTCTATTCCATTGGTTCACTTTGTACTGAGGACAGAAGTCAATCTATATTTATTACTGTGCGTATAGGTTTGGGGCATGTGGCCGCAAAGCAGAAGTTGTCCAACGGGAACCGGTAGCCAAACTGCGGACACAGTGTTGCTCCTGAGGACGCTGGGGTTGGGAATGTGGACCAAAGAGACGACACAGGGTGGGGTAAAGATACAAGAAAAGTGGGTCAGAAAGAAATGGGGAAAAACAAACAGAGTGAGGAAGGAGAGCAACAGTGGCACATCTGAGAGGCCAGCCCAAGGCCTTCTGGAAGGAGGATGTGGGGAGGCCAGAATGCCTGGGTTTGCTCAGGGGGTACACCTCCCTAGCCCAGCAGTGGCTCGTGTAGCATTGACACCATCAGCAACCCGAGGGCCCGGAAGGTGACTTGTTGGCTCTCCCCAGAGCCTCTCCGTGGCCTGCAGGGCATAGCAAACATCGGTCAAATGCATGAATCAAGGAATGAAGGCCAAAGCTGGACTGCGGTGTTCAGTGAGATTCTGGGGCCATCCTGAGGATCAGTTACGGCCACGTGTGTGCCGATGCTGGAGGTTTCTTGCCACCTTGTTACTGACGTCATCTTGGGAACCTGACTGGCTGCAAGAGGGTGTGAGGTTCTCGGGATGCCCTGCAGGTGAGGAGACTCAGGAGGGAAGTGGGCGCAGATCTGCAGGCGGGAGGGAGCCCTCCGTGGTCATACTTCTGGGCTCCACTAGATGGCAGCAGTAGCTAAGCCTAGTTGCTCCTGAGAGGCAGCCCAGGACTTTGGGCAGGCGGTGGGTGGGATGCCAACAAGCAAACCTCCCTGTGGGCTCTAGGGCCTGCTAGGCCTTCTGCTCCGGAGATTCCAGCCTCATGCTGCTTATGGTCCCTGCATTCCATATCTGTCTGCTCAAATGCAGCATGCCCTCCACCTACTTGAGGTCGCAACCACTGGACCTGCTTCCCAGAGCAGCTCCCGACCCGGGCTGGGGAGTGGCCACCCCGCTTGGCCTGGGCAGCTCCAGGTCATCCCCGAGGGCCCTAGCAGGCTGGAGTCAGGGTGTGTGAGGTGAAAAAAAGGGTACCTTCTCTTTTCTTCCTCCAGTTGGGATCGAAGCTTCTCTTCCAGCGAGTCTGCCATCGAAGGCAAGGCTGTGTTTTCTGAGAGGCCTGTGGAAAGGAGATGGCAATGGGTTACTCCAACAAGGAAGAATGGCAAAAGAAGTGTGAGATTCAGGGCGGAGGACAGGGTAAAGTGAACCCCAAGATGAAAGGGGACTCTGTGAGGACCTTCTGGGGCCTTTGGTTGAGAGTTCAGTCCCCTCCTCGGGATGGCAATCTCTAATTGGTTGAAAGCCTCCCAGAAGAGGCTTCCATGATGATTTCCACCGTCCCTCCCACAGTCCAACATCTGTCACTGGAAGAGAACCCGTCCTTACATTGCTATTAATCCTTTTACTGTTGAGTTCACTTATTTCCTCTTGAATCCTCAGGGAAGATGCAAAATAGCCTTTTCCCATCCTCTGCTCCACAAATGGGAAGATGTCACTAACCCGTCTCACATCTGTCACATCTGTCTCTGTACCAGTCGAGGTGCTGAGGGTCTCTGGCCTCCAATCCTGTCTCCAGTTTGTGACTTCCCTCCGAAGCGGAGGTTGCCAAGCCCGATGAAACTAAGCAAGGCTAATATGCAGCCAGAGCTGAGAACAGGCTCAGACCCCCTGCCCGTGAGACCACGGCAAGGTCCTGGTGAGGGCCGTGTTCCCAGGCATGCTGACCCTTGCTGCCAGTTACAAAGCTGCCAACTCTGGTTGGTTGCTTGTTGGGGGCCTGTCCCCTCCCTAGCCTGCTGGGCGGGCTCTATTAATCCTCCTAGCAGTCTCTGTGGCTGCTCTGCTTTTCCTAGCCTCAGAGAGGGCGTCTTGGAAGTCACACAGCTCTGCTTTTTTACTCTAAGTAGGGGAGAATCTACTTTGGGCCAGGTGCTTTCTGGACATGATCGGACTTCATCCTTCTAGTACTCATTTGAAGCATTATCGTTCTCATCTGGCAGAGAAGGACACTGAGGTTCAAAGAGGTTAACTTGCCCCAAGGCCAACCGGCTAACTTCAGGAAACTGGATCCAAAGCCAGCTGTGTTTGGTTGCAAGGGCCTTGGATCCAGAAATTTCTTCTGTTAACATTTCTGACAGATGGTCATCTATTTTCTGCCCAAATACTTCTAGGGGTGGGGAGCTCACTCTTTGGCACCATAGCCCATTTGATGATGGGTAGCTCTGTTTCCTTTTCCTTTGAGCTGAGACCCACCCCAATCACTTCTTTCCACCTTGACTTTGGGTCTTAAGAGCAGCATAGCTTGTCTTCCTTCCTCTGATGGTTCTTTAGAGATTTTCACAATGATGACAAAAAAAATAATTTACCAACCATGTTTTTGGAGCGTTATTCTCAGGCTAATTCTGCCCAACTCCCTTATCAAGGGCTCACTGACATGGTTGCTTTCTGACTGACCTTAAGCCTTAAGGACTAAATCTGGACATAATATTCCAGAGAGGTCTGAAAGGGACAGGGTGGAAAATGGACCTCCAACCTTTTAAAAATGTGCATTCTCTATTTCTCTAGCAGGTAAATAATGAACAATGACCATTATTGAATGCCTGCTGTCTGCCAAGTTCTACTGGGTTCTGGGCTAGGTGCCAACTCACGTTACTGATTCTCAAAATAACCCAGAAGGGAGGGGGCTTACCATCTCACTTCAGTTAGATTCTGAGTTTCAGAGAGGGCTGTGAGTAGCCCAAAGTCACACAGCTAATGCGCAGAGCTGGGATTTGGACTCAAATTTTTCTGTTTCCAAAGAGCTCAGTGTGTAGACCAGGCACCCCACCCACCCCATGCCATTTTTGTTTTTCTGTAGTTTTGTCATTGTCATGGCCTGTCAGTTTGTCACTGGCCTCTATTAAGCTTGTGGTTAGTTTCAACACTTTCATATTTTTATGAGTGGTTGTCAAAACACATCCTATTTCAGTGTGATTGTCCTTTTGACTCTAAATGCCACACTTTAGATCTAATGGGGGTTAAGCCTTCTGAGAAGTCCTTATTCTGCCATGCCTTTATTCTGTCCATGTGAGTTGCCTTTTGTGCCATTATCTAACTCATTGATAAACACGCAAAGCAGATCAGGAGTATGTCCTTTATCTTCTGGGCACTGATACTCTCTCTTCCATATGCCGAGTGACAACTGTCTCTTGGAAAACTGACTGGATAAGTGTCTTTCTTATTCCATCTAAACATGGGAGATGCAGATACCACTCGACTTGCCAACTCAGAATGACACGTCACCTGGGCTAGTGTGATTTTTGGCCCTGATGAATTGGCTGCCTGTCCGCATTGCCCATGCTCCCCCAGGCATATGCACTGGAAGCCCCTGGAGGGCGGGGACTGGTCCTGCTGTGCATCATATCTCCCCTGCTCTCTGTTCAGGCCCCATGTGCAGGGGACACTCAGTGCTATATGCGTGCACCAGTCCTTGCTCTCTCGGAAAAATGTTAGCTGTGATAAACCAAAGATAGTATCTTAACATGAAACTGATAATGGTAGGACTTGAAATGGACAGAATGTTTCGCTGTCTCCTAACAGTTTCCGAAATGAGCAAAGCTATCTTCCGGCCTGTTGAAAAAGAAAAGCTGTGGATCTCCTTCTTCCTTTTAACACTTTTTGGCTCCGTGCCCAGGGAACCCCTGAGAAATTCAGCGAAGACCCTGCTCCATAGTGGCTGGCCGGGCAGCCCACAGATGCACTCTGTATGAGAGGTCGCTGGAGGCAGGGGGTGCATGGCATGGCAGGGCCGCTGGATTGGCACAGGGACGTCTCACCCAGCCTGGCGGAGGCTGTCTCTAAGGGCCTCACGCAGGGAGCCTGAGATGACCTGGTCTCCCACCTAAAGTCTGTGGTTGCCCCAGGAGGAGTGCGGAGCCCATCTGTAGGAGAGGGCTCTCACCCTGCCCCATCGCTCACTGTCTTTTCGCCGGGCACCTGGCAGGCTCCCCTGGCAGATCACAGTGGCAGGTTTCTTGGAGATGTGTGGGTGTCCAGGATAGGGCAGGTAGAGCATTGTTCCGAATGCAGGTGACCCAGGAATAAGAGATGATGTCAGCTCCCGTGTGTGGGGCCTGTTCTCGGTTCTATCTTCTGTACTGCCTCATTTATTCCTGTAATTCTAGATAGCAGATATTACCACCTCTGTTTTCCAGACAGGAAGACCAAGGCTTGGGGGACCAGGTGGTTTGCTTGCACCTGCCCTAAAGCTACCAAATAGAAAAGCCAGCTTCGAGTCCAAGGCTGGTCATTCATTCACTCACGTAAGCAATGGGCTGCCCCCACCAGGGGCAGTTTGCTGGGGAATGTGGACATTGAGCCAACAAAAAACTGAGTTGACATAATGCCAGGAGCTGAAGGGCACCACGAGGAGAGAAAGCTGGATAAAGGGTGGAGGGCTGCGATGTTAGGTAGAGTGGTGGGGGAGGCATCTCTGAGGAGGGGGCAAAGACCCAAATGAAGGGAGGGAACAAGCATGCAGAATTCAGGACAGAGAGTATAGCAGTGTGTGCAAAGGGCCTGAGGTAAATCTGCTTGGTGCTTCTGAGGAACTGTGAAAAGGCTGGGGTGTCTGGGAAAGTTGGTAGGGCAGAGGGGTGGGAGCTGAGGTCAGATCACATAGGACCTGTAGGCCCTGATAAGGATCTTAGCTTTGAGAGAGACAGAGGCTAGAGCATTCTGAGGACAGAAATGGCTCGATCTATTCCTTTGATAGCTAAGCCAAGCAGTTTTTTGCTGATCAAGACAAAGCTGCCCCAAACTAAAGAATGGTCCTTGTGAGTTGGTGCCAGGATGCTATAAGCCTATTGAAAGGATGTGGGAAAGAAAGCTGGGGCAAGGGACCTCGGGCAGCCAGAATGAGGGCACAACATATCCCCAAGATGCAAGCTGTCCACGTTGTCATGGCAACCAATGGGTTATTGCCAAAGGTGATGTCTACTTAGTGAAATGCATTGTAACCCCAGCAGGAGACAGCCCCTGGCTGCTTCTGATGCTTCCTGAGGTTGGGCTTATCAGTCTTGTCTGAAGAGAAAGAGGGGCTGGGAACTGAAAGGGAAGGGAACAAAAAAGCGGCTGAGCAAGAACAGAGGAAGAGGGAGTAACTGAAGGGCATTCGGGCTTTGTAGGTCTCCGTGCCCACTGGGACCGGGGCCAGGGACAGAGCCTCCAGTCACCTGACAGGAGGCACTGGGGGCCATCCTTTCAACCACAGGATTCTGGCTGGGACAGGAACACAGGGGGTCGTAGCCCTGAGTGGCCTATGAGGTGACACGGTGACTCTGCTCAGGCAGCCGGCTCCAAAGCAATACAAAAGAAAGAAAGAAGGGTTTCATTCCAGCAGGCACAGACCTGAATGTCACACAAGGAGGGAGCCCTGAGTGGTTGAACAGTGTATGAAACTTCAAACAGGGCACCCCCCCCCGTCCCAGGCTGGCCCTGTGTCTGATGTGTCAGGTGTTCAGGAACCAGCAGCATCAGGACAAGTGAGGTCTCTGCTGGGCAGGCCGGCCTCCGGTGGGCCCCCTCCTACCTGGTGGGATCTTAGGACACTGAAAAGATCATTAGACACTGAAAAGATCTTCCTGCTTCCCCATACCTTCCTCATGCCCCACCCCCCAAACTCTCCTATAGTTCTTCAGTGTCTGAAATGTACAGAATTTCATTTTTTTGGTTTAGTGGCTCTCTATTGGATGGGCACATGAGAGGCTGGTAAAAGTACAGAGACAACGGGGCCCTGCACTACACCTACTGAGCTAGAATTTTCCAGTAGGTTCCTCAGAGACGCAGATGCTCAGCCCTGGTTAAGAACACTGCTCCAGGCTTTGAGACCAGGTTCAATGCAAGTGTTCCATGCAAGCGTTACAAGGAATAAAGAATCTGCGGTGGTTTAGATGGCACAGTATACGGGGCTCGTGTGTCCCTTTGCCCCCATCTGCTTTCCAGACTTTTGGGAGCCCCAGTGGGGAAGAGGGGCTCAAGCGTTTCCAGCAAGGAAGACGACACACTCGTTGTAGGGCTGGAGCTGCTTGCACTTGACTCTTGTAAAGGGTAGACAAAATGTGAGCCGTGAGATCCCCG